TTTCACTGGCACATAGGCAGCAACCACTGGCTCCGTTTGCCTTCTCCCTGCCTCCAGTTGTTTATTTCCTTTAATCCAACCTCTGCACCTTTGCACCTGCTGTTCCCTGCCTGGGATGACTTTCCCTCCTCCTCACTCACTGAGACCCTGTGAGTGGCCATTCTTCAAGGTCAGCCCAGGAGGGTCTCATTCAGAGACCCATACTGGGTCACTTGGCCAGCGTTACCCATCTATGGCTGGTGCTCATGACCTTCTATAGGTGTGTTCTCCTTCTTGAACCACCAGCATGTTCATCAAAGGCTGTGGCCAAAGCCTGACATTGTGACCACCCAGCATACTGAAGGGTAGCAGAAGATGCCACCCCAAAATGTGCCTCTTTGGCATCAGGATTATTTTGAGCTGATTATTTTTTGAGAAACAGCAGGTGCAGGAGGAGCTCTAGAAACAGAGCAGAAGGGAAATCTACATTTGTAAAGGAAATTTCCATTAGAAGGGGTACCTGTACCAGGAACTGAGCTACTACCAGAGATCATTTTTTATCCACCAGAGAGACTTGTCTGCAAAACAAGGCAAACTTTGTGTCCTATACATTTCTTCCTCTCATCTTTCTGTGAATCCTTCCCCCACACCTAGAAGCCCCCTCCCCCTGTCCTGATCTCAGGATGGCATGTAAGTAAATCATCTGGTCCCTTTTTGAGTAATATCTTTTTGTAACTCCCGTGTGTATGTATGTAATTAAATTTGGCTTTTCCCATTAATCTGTCTCATGTCAATTTAATTATTGGACCAGCCACAGAACCTGGAAGAGTCAGAGGAAAATTTGTCCTTCCCTACAGTTCACATGCCAGACTCACTCATCCCCACAGAAGCTGGTGAGGGACTCCAGTTAGCTTTAGGCTGTTACCTAGAAATCACTTAGAAAACCCAGCATTGGGTTAGTTAATTTGATGCACAGGCTTTGGTGACTCTCAATCTCAGAGTGGGCTGGAGATTTTCTCTGATGATGGTGATGATGATGGTGATTCCATCCCAGTGATGGGGAGCTCCCCCACCTTCTCCTCCCAGGCTGATTCATTGTACCTTCTACCCGGTTCCCAGCTCTGGCCTCTGAGCTTGCACAAATATGCTCCTTCTAAAGGAGGAAGGCCTTTTGACACATATTAGTGGGGTCTTTGGGAGCCTCGAAATTTAATGTGGGCCTTCCACAATATCACAAAGACTTCCCCTCACCTCTGGGGCAACCAACAGACCTATGACTAAAATAGAACCCACCCTCGGCCAGATGATGATTCCCACCCATTCCTCCTCCTCTCTGAACAATGCTGGTTTATGCTTCATCACAGTTGTTAATTCTAAGATCTGCTTATGCAATGGCTTTATTTCGGGTCTCTGGAGAAAAGGGTACAATTTCTGAGATGGGAGTTTGAATTCTGGTCTCATAGTCCCCACCTTTCCAGGCCCCCCAGTGTGAGGCCAGCCTGCCCAGCGCCCTCACTGTGGTTTCCCAGCAAAGACCCAACTAGCCTAGTCTTTCAGGGCCCCTCAGACCCCCTGGCCTCTGCCCCCCATCCCTAGTCCTTTAGCAAAAGAAAACTCTGCCCCCGGAGCCCTCCCCACTGGAACCCTCAGTCTCCTGAGCCTGTGGAGGAGTACACAGTGGGAGAGGAAGAGGAAAAAGGAAGTGAGTGAGAAGAGGTGACACACTGCACTGTGCAGTTTTTATTAAATCACTCTGGCATAAATTGAGAGTTTAGATGCAAACATTTATAGGTGGCATCCGATCATTTAAAATGACCCAGGGGCTCCCGGCTGGTGGTTGGTAGAGCATGTGACTCTTGATCTTGAGATTGTTAAGTTCGAGCCCCACATTGGGTGTAGAGATTGCTTTAAAAAATAATAATAAGGGACACCTGGGTGGCTCAGCGGTTGAGCATCTGCCTTCGGCTCAGGGTTTGGTCCTGGGATGGAGTCCCGCATGGGGTTCCATGTGGGGAGCCTGCTTCTCCCTCTGCCTGTTTCTCTGCTCCCCCCCCCCACCCCCCTCTGTCTCACACACAGGCTCCACGCAGGGAGCCCGACGCGGGACTCCATCCTAGATCCCAGGACCACGCCCTGGACCAAAGGCAGGCGCCAAACCGCTGAGCCACCCAGGGATCCCCCTAAAAAATATATTTAAAAATAATAATAAAATAAAATGATCCAGTAGATTGCTCAGTATATTAGGTAGAATATAAATGTGGCTGTTGACACAGAGACCCAAGATGGCTTAATCAAGATCGAAGTGTGTTTCTTTTCCTCCTAACGGTCCCTGTGTAAATGGCTCACGGCTGGTGTGGCAGCTCCGCGGGTCAGGGACCCTGGTTTCAGGAAGGCTAGTTTCCGAGTCCTCCATCCAGCCAGAGGAAAAGGGGACGTGAGAGAGGAGGTGTGCTCATCGCTCTCACCCCATTGGTCAGAGCTGGGTCACGTGGCCACACTCAGTTACAAGGGCGTCTGGGAAATGTAGTCCTTTCTTCTGTGCAGCCCCGAGTGCCGCTAAAAGGGGTCAAGAGATATGAGAACAAGCAGAAGGCTCTACCATAGCTATGTGGGCTCACTTTTCCTGCACCCAGATGGCCTTAAAGCCCCTTTCCATGCCCATCACCCTGACCAGGAGCCTCCAGACCAGGGAACCTGTTGCCATGGGATGCACCCTGCACAGGCTCACCCCAAAAGATGGCAGGAAGGAGGCAGCCATGCCAGAGCAGGGGTTCACCTCTCATTCCCCACCCCTGTCCCCACTGCCCATCCTTCTCTTCTCCTCCTCCTCTCTAGGCCTGGTGATGATGTCTGAGTTGGGCTCCAGGGAAGATGAATTAGGGAAGTACTTTCTAACATGCAGACAAGAGTCAGGTTTGGCAGAGCAAGGGGATAGGGTGGAAGGCTGTCAGTGGGGAGAAATGGGGCCATCCTGGGGGCTTGATCCCTGCTATCATGCCCAGGAAATGGCAGCCAGCTAGAGGCATCCTGGAAAAGCAGGTGGCCCAGGTGGAGAAGAAGAGGCAAGGTCTCTGCCTCCAGTGGGCCTCAACCCACAGTGAGCTGCCCAGGGTAGGCTGGGTCAAGGGCAGATCAATGCAGACCTCAATCTATGACCCATCATTTGCCCACACCACATGGGAAGCAGGGGCTCTGAACCTCGTCCCTACAGATGCCTCCCCAGGCTGCCTAGAAAAGACAGGAGCCAACTCCAGCAACAGCTAATACCCACTGCGAGCTCACCATGTGCTGGAAACATTGCCCCAGGCTACCCCCACATCAGCCTTTTGAGCCAAATCCTGGTCTTCCCAGAGAGCAGTGCCCCCACGCACTTATTTATTTTCAATGCTTTGGTGGAAAAGGGTGTGCATGTACATTACCTCTAGTCTCCATCTCAGGGACAGTCCCTTAGTATCTGAAATACCCTCATCAGGAATCTGCTCTCCAGAAGGAATCACATTAGCATTTTAATAACATGCTGTTATTACAATTGACACTACAGTATGTTCATTAGCAAAGGGCTATTAGAAATCCCTTTTCTTAGGAGAAGTGTGAGGTGGCCAGATAGGCAGTTGGCTAAAAAGATTCCTGGCAGTGAGCTCAGCAGCCCAAGACCCCCCAGAGCTGTGCTCTGGGGTAGGGCCCTGGGGTCCCTCTTCCCCTACTCCTTGGACAGATGGGTGGTGTATGGCTTCTTTTGTACCTGCTTGCTGGTAAATATTTGGACATTTGACAGGATAAGACCTGCTTTTGTTATAACATTCCATCTGGTGGCAAGGCTGTTGGGTGTGTGTGTTGGGGGGGCGGTGTCTGTGAAGCCATCATTGCCCCTCTTTGGGAGTTCACATTTTTACCAGAAAACCCGGTCAGCTAGAATGCCTGCCCAATGTCAAGTGATGGAGCTGGAACCTGTACCCCTAACCACCACCCCACACACACTGTCTTCCCACCATGCCTTTGATTTGCTGTCATGTTGTCTAGAGGACTTCTGGCCTTCACCCTAGACCCTGCCAGCCAAGGCACTACGTGGAGTGCCCATCATGGCCATGGAGGGTGCCATCTTTGGGTGTCCCTTCTCAGTGGCTGCTTTACCCCCAAAGTGGAAGTCATGTCGGGCCCTCCAGCTTTGTCTTGCAGGCTGTGTTGCCCCGATCATTTGTCACAAAACCAGCTCCAAAACGTGACCTGTTTTTGCAGGTGGTGGCTCATTCTAAGGTTGGCTATTGGGCCTCACCGATATACACGTTTTCCAAGAGACTTCGGCCAAGAGCAATAGTCTATTTCTGATGAATAGTTACACTCTTACTGCAACATCACCTTTTATTGTCCAAACTCATGCTTCCTCAGCAAGCTCCAGAGAGCAAGGACCATCACGTTCTCTGATTCCTCCTCACCCCAAACACTCAGCGCACGGAGGGCCCAGGTGTGTTGAGAAAACACTTGGTTACTTGACTGGAGGGAGGAGGAGCCCCCCCCCCCCCAAAGCCCAGGCTCCAGGCTGAAGGCACCACGGCAGAGGACAGCCCCAACACCTGCCACATCTTGGGGTGCCTTTCTGAGAGCTCCCACAGGTGAATGATTAGCCTGAACCCCAGGCAAGTGGAGACAGGACTCCTCTTTAGGACCCAACTTGACAGCCTGCGGTAGAAACAGCTCACCGGGGCTTCTCAAAATGCAGTCCCCAGACCAGCAGCCTCAGCCTGGCCTGTGAACTTGTGAGGAAAGCCAATCCGTAGGTTCAGCCCAGAGCTAGCTCAACAGCAGCCTGGAAGCGAGGCGGGCACCCCGGGCCAAACTGACATACACTCGCTTTTGAGAAGAACTAGCCGAGGCCCCAGTCTTATGTTTGTACCCTTTAAAGTCTCCCAAGAAACCCTTTAGAGACCCCCCAGGAGACGACACAGGCAGGAATGGACATGTTGGCTGGGAGTGAGATGTGGGGTGCCCCCCCCCATTGAACTCTCCACTTCCCACAACACTGCTTGATATGTTCTGGTTTAATCTTTATGCCCCAGGGTTTGCACAGTCTTTGTCTTGGGGAAACTGGGCAGACAACACCCAAAGCAAGAGAAAGGGTGTCACAGGAGGAGGAAGAAACCTAAAGATGAAATGAAAAAGAACAGAAACAGACAAAGCAACAGGTCCACACAAGGGAGCCAAGGACAAGTCAGGAAGCGTGTTTAATTGGCATGACATGGCAGACATACATCAGGAGCACGAGAGGAGGCCTGGGCACGCTAAGTGGCCCTTGACCACCCTGGGGCCTCACCCTGCCCCCACCTGCACCACCAGGGCAGGGGCCTGCTTCTTCCCCAGAGACACATACCAGCGCATTCAGACAGGACAGCACCCCAAAAAGAGGCTCAGAGGGAGTTGGAAAGGCAAACAGAAAGAAAACAACCATAGCCAGGAGACATTGTTTTTTTTTTTTTGGTTAAGAGTTGCCCTAATTCCTGTATGAAGTTGCAGGCACCAGGTGGGGGGTACAGGACAACTTAGACTGCCCCACTGGCCTACCACGTCTGCAAGGTGCTCTGACCCCTATGCACACGCTGGGTCTCCACTCCTCATTTTACCCTGTGAGGGGGGCTGAGCAGACACCTGCTCCCCATCCCAGGGTCAGAGGAACTGAGCAGGGCTGACGGGCCCGGAGTCTCAGAGAGCCGGTCACTGAGTCAGACTGGGAGCCCCAGGTCCCTGCAAGGACGTAGGGAAAACAAGTATAGAGGCTGCGGAGCGGTGGGGCAGGCGGGGGTGGGGGTATGAATTCTGCGTGTGTCCCGGTTCTGGGCGGTAGAGAGAGCCTGAGCCTAGATGCCAAGACAGAAGATGGGACCAACTGTTTATTCAACAAAAGCCTTTTATTCATTCAAAAATCAACCATTGGGTTTATTCCGCAGATATTAAAAAAATGGGTAGAGGGCAAGGCTTCCCATCATGGTGCCCTTAAGCTAATTAACTTGCTATCCCGGGGGGGGGGGGGGGGGGCGGAGAGACCTAGAAGAGGGGCATCTGGGAGACACGCTGCCAAGAAGGCGGGCTGGAGCCCAGGCCCGGGCGAGGGCGAGATCCGAGCCCCCTCCTAGCACCCCACCTCCCGCTGCCCCCCTCCAAGCGCCTGTTTGGCCTGTGGGGACCCCCACGTGCCTTTGCGGCTCCCCGCCACGAGGGGGCGCGCCCGCGTCCCCCAGGCTCCCCGGACGGAGGCGAGGCTGCACCGGGAACGGATTCTGGGTGCGGGGTGCGCAGAGGGGCTTTCTCCAGGGAGAGGCGGCCTCTCCCCGGGGTGGGGGGCTGCCCCCCTTCCTCCCCTCGGAGAAAAGGCAGGTTCCCGAAAGCCCCGTGGGCCTGCCGTCTAGGAAGTTGGCTGCCAAACAGAAAAGCGTTTCGGGGGAAAGGAGGACACACACGTTTGCCTTGACGTTACTGGAAACGTTGCCCGGTTCAGTATCGGGAACTCTGGCATCGTCCTCAGTGCCACCAACACAGAGTGGGGAGCGACGCCCTGAGCAGGAGGCAGGGGCCGCTGCTCCGGGGCCAGGGAACGAGGAGCGAAGGTCAGGAGAGGGACGGAGAGCCTGGCCTCCGGTGGGTCTGGAATCCCCAGGGAGCAGCCTGGACGGCCTGGGGAGGGGAGCAGGGACCCACAGCTGCTCAAGATTCCAGATCTAGAGGCCTGGTGAGAGGAGGGGACAGACTGTCCCTGCCCGGGAACCTCGGGCACAAATGGCCAGTGTCCAGCACCCTGCCGGCAGCTCTGGGCCGCCCCGGGGCATGGACCCAAGGTGCGCTGGAGCCATGCGTCCACAGAAGGCCTGCTGAGGCCAAAAGCCACAGCCGTGGCTCCAAACCAAAAGGTCAAAGGGCAAGAAGGTAGGAGGAAGGCCTCACAGGCAGATGCTCCATTGATGCCTGGGAATCGATGCCTGAGCTAGGGGGATCCACAGGCTTAACCCCAGTGATTCTGAGCTACAGGTCCCTTATGGAGACGATGCCTCTAGCATGGGCTGCAGGACAGCATCTCCCCACTGGGCCAGAGGCTGAGGCAGAAGCCAGAGAAGTCATGTGACATGGGGAAGGACCCCCCCCCAACCCCAAACCACCAACATGACCTCCCACACTAAGGTCCTAGGCCAGAGCCAGGATTGGGTGGGGAGTCTGAGGCTCCCGAGCCAGTGGCCTGAGCAGAAAGTTGACCCCAGCAACCTTGAGGGGCCCACCCTGCAAGGTCACCTGTGAAAATGGAAGTGCTCCCTGTAACACGGAATCTGGGGGCTTACAGTGAAGGTGGGGTGCAGCCACAGGCTCTGCTGAGCAACAAGGGAGTCTGGGACTGCTGAGTGCACCAGCCAGCGGGAATGGACATGCAAGCCCCGTCTGGCACAGCCAGGCTCTGGTGGAGGGTCTGTTAGCTGATGGTTAATTAGCATACGCTCTGGCCTCCTGGCAAAGTGCAAAGTGAAGACCAAGGACAATTCAAAGTGAGGACCAAGGGCCAGCTTCTCCTCTCCTGGGGCTGGGGCAAGCAGGGAGATGGCAGCCTGCTGACCTTGCAAAGAAGTGGGAATTCTAGACTCAGGCCTGCCCTACAGACTCTAGGGGGTTGCTTCCCACCTCAGAAGGCTTCCTTCCAATGAGGACTTGTCTGGGGCCAGAAACACAGCTCAAGAGTCCAGGGGAGACCAGGAAGGATTGCAGAGAGAACCAGGTAGGTCATCTGACCCCACACATCACACCCAGCGGCTGCCATGTCCCCATAGACTCGTGCCAAGAGACCAAATAGTGACTCAGACCCTTCCCGTGTCTTTTGGGGTCTGGCAAACTTAGGCATGGACCATAGAATCATAAACTGCAAGAAACCCAGGCTTACAACCATACAGTGTCAGCACGGAAAAGGATCTTCCAGATCAATCAGCCCAAGCCTCTGGCCCAAGGTCATCTGACTTTCCTGGTGGCAGTTCTGGGGCCATCCTGTCTGGGTGGCAGGCAGAGTTAGACACATCCTAGAAGCACATGTGGGCCACAGCCCTGAGGGGCCACTACTGGGTGGAACTGCCTGCAGCCCTTCTCTCCTACCCTCCCTTCCAGCACCTGAGCTGAGAGGGAAGAGGAGGAGGAGGATGCTCTGTGGGTCAAGAGCAGACAGGCAGACAGAAGAGCAAGTGGGAGAGAACTGAGCGACTATCTTTAAAACCCACCAAGGAGGGAGAAGGAGCCCTTCCTTCTGCTCACTTGTTTGCAAAGAGTGCCCTGCTTCCCTTTCTCTAGGTAGCCCGTCCCCCACTCTTGCTGGCTCCCTCCCAGTCTCCATGCTGCTGCAGACACCAAAGCAAGAGTTGAGAAACCCAAAGATGTCCCCTGTTTGTCCTCAGAAAAAATGCTGTGGAGCCAGAGAAGGACCCAGGATGGGGAGTGTGGATAGGAAGCAGAGAAAAGGAGTTCAAGAGGAGGCATTCAGGCTGGAGGGAACAGTGCATTAGCCATTTAAGAAACCCACCCTTCCCCTCTCCAAACATCGAGCACGGTATCTGGAAAAAAAAAAAAAAAGAAAGGAGAAGAAGAAGAATTAGAAGAAGGAGAAGGAGAAGAAGAGGGAAAAGGAGGAGAAGAAGGAGGAAAGTTTTTTGGCTTCTTGGCCGCTGCAGGCCACCATCCCCCCAAGCGCAGGTGGGCGAGGGCGTGCACATGTAAACGGGAGGCCCCACATCCCTGGGAGCTCTGGACACACGGGGCAGCAGCAACAGTTAACAACCAATAAATAAAAGATATCAATTATATATGTATAAAAAAAATTCACTTTCCCCACAAAAAGCACAATACTGTTATCACAAAAAAAAATCATCATCATCATCATTAATCATCCTAGTCACGCAGGTGGTTTCGCCGCTCGAGGATGGGACGTGGAATAACGTTACTCGGGCCCCCGCCACGCCCCGAGCGCACCGTGGCCGTGGCCGAGGCCGCGACTCCCGTGGCCTCTCCGGCTGCCGAAGGACGCCGAGGCGGGAGGCAGTGTTCTCTGAGGTCTACGCTGGCCTTCTCCCCATCTGTCAGTCTGTACCTCCTAGGACAGAAGGTAGCTGTTGGGTTTCTGTTTTTGTTTTTTTCTTTTTTCAATGTCTGTTTGAAATAAAAAAACAAAAGCACACGCGCAGGAGAGCGGGAGGGACCCAGAGGCTGCCTGCGAAGCAGCCGAGTCCTTGGTTTTGCAGAGGGCTATAGCCTTTTCCGTTTCATGTCGGTTTCTGGACAAGCAGAGGTTGTTGGCGATCGGAGCCGGTGGCTTCAGGCGGCGGTGGGTGCAGGGCAGGGGTGAGGAGAGCCGGGCCTCACGGTTCCAGGGCGGCCCAGCTGGCCATGGATGCGGACAGGCTGGGTGGACACAGAGGGTGGTGTTGGGGCGGCGGTGGCCTCATGGCACGGGAGGAGGTGAGTGGTTCCCAGGCATCTGGAAGACACAAGGAGGTGAGATAGGCATGGAGCTGGCTGCCGGGGACAGACGCCCCTGGGGCTAGAGGGAGATTCGGCTAAAGGGCAAGTGGCACACTGTCAGAAGCCCTCAAATGTCCCGAGCACACCCTCTGATCCAGCCATTTGGTGTTTAGTGTTCATCCTTTCTTTTAAGAAAAACATTTTATTTACTTATTCATGAGAGACACAGAGAGAGGCAGAGACACAGGCAGAGGGAGAAGCAGGCTCCATGCAGGAGCCCAATGCGGGATTTGATCCTAGGACCCCAGGATCACACCCTGAGCTGAAAGCTGATGCTCAACCAGTGAGCCACTCTGGCGTCCCGGTATTTATCCTTAAGAAATAAATATGGTGTTTCCTGCAGTAACATCCATAATAGCAAAATAAAAAGGGAGGGAGCGAACTCAGTGCCCATTAATAGGGAGCTGGTTGGATACACAGGACACAGCCATAGGGTCAAATGACTTGCAACCATTAAAAACAAACGCATGGCATGGCCAATAAGCTCAACACAATTAGCCATCAGGGAAGCACAAATAAAAACCACAATAAGGCACCACTTCACACCCACTAGGATGGCTATCATCAAAATACAGGGAAATAACAAGTGTTAGTGAGGGTGTGGAGACACCGGGCCCCTCACCCTTGCTGGTGGGGAGGTAAGATGGTGCAGCCGCTGTGGAAAACCGGCTGCTGGTTCCTCAAAAAGCTAAACGTAGAGTTGCCATAGGACCCAGCAATTCCACTTCTAGGTATATACCCCAAAGAACTGAAAATCAGGACTCAAATCCATGTACACCAACATTCACAGCAACGCTATTCACGGCTGTCAAAAGTGGAAACCAGGGCACCTGGGTGGCTCAGTCATCGAGCGGTTGCCTTCAGCTCAGGTCATGATCCCGGGGTCCTGGGATTGAGTTCCGCATGGGGCTCCCTGCATGGAGCCTGCTTCTCCCTCTGCCTGTGTCTCTGCCTCTCTCTCTGTGTCTCTCATAAATAAATAAATAAAGTCTTAAAAAAAAAAAGGTGGAAATCCAGATGTCCATCAGTGGATGAGCAGATGAACAAGACGTAGTCTGTTCACAGAGTGGAGCACGACTCAGCCATAAGAAGGAATGAAGTCCCGACACACACTACAACATAGATAATCCCTGAAAATAATATGCTAAATGAAAGGAGCCAGACACTAAGGGCCACATATTTCATTTATATGCAAAATTTCATTTATATGAAATGTCCCAAATACGCAAATCCATAGAGACAGAAGGGAGGCTGTGGTTTCCAGGAGCTTGGTTGGAGGTGGGATGGGGAGAGATGGCTTAGTGGATACAGAGTTTGATTTTGGGGGGATGAAAAGGTTTTGGAACTAGACAGAGGTGATGGTTGCACATCATTGTGAATATACGAAATGCCACTGAATTGTTCACTTGAAAATGGTTCAACCTAACCTACTCTTCCCCTCTGCGAAGGGATACCCTGCTGGCTCCGTCACTAGAGCATGCAACTCTTGATCTCGGGGTTGTGAGTTCAAGCCCCAGGTTGGGCATGGAGCCTCCTTAAAATAAATAAATATCTTTTAGAACAACAAAATGGTTAATTTTGTTAGGTGAATTTTGCCTTGATATGTTTTCAAACGTTTACAAAAAAAAAAAGGCATGGAGGACAGTCCTGTCTTTAGCATCTGCACCATCCACAGATCCTTCCCGTAACCTGCTCCACTTAAATACCACATCCTGCTCCCCTGACTATGCGCATGTAGGTGTCTGATCCCAAAGGGGCCACTTCCCATATCTGTGTGAGATGACCTGAAAGCATAATCTGGGTCAGTCAGAAGCTACGTGGCAGTGGCCCTGGAGGAACAGTAAGGGCCCACAAGACCGGAGTTAGGGTGGCCGCCACAGTGCAAGTGGGGGGAAGAGTTACCCAGGGAGAGACCTGTGTCCTCTCAGCCTTCCATCCTTGTGTCAACCCTGGGGCGCTTGGCTGGGTTTCTAATCACATGCTCTGCCTTCTGTGGCAATCTGTGAACCCTGGTGATCCACAGCATTACCTTCTGGTTAAACCCGCAAACATGATGAAATTCATCAAATGCATTTAGATCCACAAATTCATGATTACATATTTTTTTAAAAAAGTCATTGGTCATCTCAAAAGGATGTTAGAAATCCAACTCATGGGCGCCTGGGTGGCTCAGTGGTTGAGAGTCTGCCTTTGGCTCAGGTCATGGTCCTGGGATCAAGTCTCTCATCAGGCTCCCCACAGGGAACCTGCTTCTCCCTCTGCCTGTCTCTGCCTCTGTGTGTGTGTGTCTCTCATGAATAAATTAATAAAATCTTAAAAAATCCAACTCATTTTGAAAACTGAAAAGGAGGAAGAATCAAGTATTTCTTATGAAAACTAGGCTTGAAAAAAAAAAAAACCAACCTAGGCTTTAGAGTAACCAAATAGTTGATGAGGGGAAGCTTCCCTATATAGAAGCAACTGAGCTACCAACAAAGGACAGACATCTTTAGAACATCACCTACAGAATGAAAGAATGAAGTGGTCATCACCAATGGCTGCTGATGTCACCGGACCTCACATGCTACCTGGTGGACACCCACAGCCCCAATGGGAGGTGTTCTCAACAAAGGAAACCAATCTGAGCGGAGCACCGGGCAAGCCTGCAGATCTAACTGCCCCTTTCCAGGAAGAACAGGGAGCTGAAGAACATGTTAAAACCACCATGGGGCACATTCAGCAAACTCTAGATGTAGGAGACTCTACAGAATGTGTTTTTCAACAAATAGCCAGCCAAAAAGGGAAGGAGAAACACAGATTAAAATAAACTTAAAAAAATAAAATAAAATAAACTTGAGAGACCTATCAACCAACTGTAATAGGTGGAATTTATTCAGATTCTGATTCCAATAAACAAAAACCTGTGAGGTAAGAGGAAGTGGGAATATCAGCTGCTGGATTGGGGGAAGGGGGGGGGTATTAAGGCATTAGTATTGACGTTTTTACTATTGTGGATTTTGTAAAGAATCGTTATCTTTTAGGAATACACTTTGAAATATGTATGTATGAAATGACAAAATGTCTTGAATTTGCTTCAAAATAACCACTGTGAAAGTGCATGTAGAAGGTATAGATGATACAAGACTGGTGGCAAACTGGTGATTCTGAAGGTTGGTGATCAGTAATGGGATTATACCATTCCCTGCACCACTGCTTGTGACTACTAAGGTTTTTCTTAAAAATCCACATCAAGATTTCCAACAACCTAAGTGTCCCACAGCACGGGACTGGCCAACTACACAATAGAATACTATGCAGCTATAAAAAATGATGGTCTCAGACAATATTTTTACTGATACAGAAAATATGCAGGATCTCAGTTCTTGAAGGACTGTTAATTATGTAACAGTAATTTATATAACAATTATGATACATCAGAAATCTGAGAAGGCAAATCCATGAAAAAAATGATGGAACATAATATAAGTTGGACATGATTAATATCTAGCAAGTTCTAGGATAAGCCTGAGAAAAGGAAGAGGGCAATTTTGGGGATGAGCTAAAGGTTGTCTGAAAAGCCTGTCATGGATATAAAGTAACATCTTCTTGGCCACCATGTTGCTGGTGAGAGTCACATGGACATCTCCATAAATGGTGTTAAGGAAAGCCCATGCAGAGATACAGCAAAATGTGAACTTTTTGCCAAATTGGATAAAACATGCTAAAAATCTCTTTTCTTGGGGTGCCTGAATGGTTCCATTGGTTCAGTGTCTGACTCTTGATTTTGGCTCAGGTCATGATCATGGGGTCATGAGATCGAGCCCTGTGTCTGGCTCCACACCCAGTGGAGATTCTCTCTCTCCCTCTCCCTCTCCCTGCCCACCAGCTCCAGCTCATGCACATATGCTCTTTGCCTCTCTCTCAAAAAAAAAAAAAAAATTCCCTTTTCTTAGTGTTGCGTCTCCAAAAGTAAACATAAACATTTCCTATAAGTTGTTCATTAAAAAAAAAAAATTAAAAAAAAAACAGCCAACAACATATGGTTATGAACTCATTGTTGCTGAGGAACTACAAATACATATGTGCTCACAGAAAACCGTAAGGCAGAAACAATTAGGGTGACTGAAAAATAATCGCACACCGTAAAGAAATTAGTGACACTGCATGAGTTCTTCTCGGGGGTGGATATATCAAGAACCTATGTTTGTACCACTTTTTCCACAGCCTGCGGGAGACAAAGCAGCACGTCACAGGACAGCTGCCATGGAGGCCACTGGTGGTAATACACAAAAGGAGCCTCTGGGAAATGAGACAATGGATCATACACACCATGGGACCCAGAGCCATATACGGAGAGCTTCTCAGATCAGAGAAATAACTATGATGGTTCCTTTAGAAATTGGTTTGATTATATATCCTCATGTGACCCAGTTACTGAGTATTAAGTTTTTGTGAGTGTTCGATTCCTTTTAAATCACTCTGGACCCAAAATGCTCACAGTGGTTATATCTGGGTTATACATGAAGGTTTTTAAAAATAAACTTTTTTATGGAGGTGTTCTGTTTTAACATATTGTCTAATGTCTCTTCAATGTAAAGGGATTTCTTGTGTAAAATCATTAGCAGCAGCAGCCTCATAGAAACATCAGAACAGCATAAGTCCCCGAAATAAAGCATCAGCAAATCAAATCTGATGATACATAAAAAGGCTAACACACCAGGGTGAAGTGGAGTTTATTCCAAGAATGCAAGGGTGGCTTAGCATTCAAAACCCAATCAGTGTCATTCATCGGGTTAAAATCCAAAAAGGGAGAAAAGTCATATGAGCATCTTGATAGATGCAGAAATTTTTTTTTTATGAAATTCAACATTATTCATGATTTTTTTAAAAAACAACTCATAAGAGAGCCACCTGGCTGGCTCAGTCAGAAAAGCATGGGGTTCTTGATCTCCAGGTGGTGAGTTTGAACCCTGCATTGGGTGCAGAGATTACTTAAAAATAAATGAATATAAATAAAAAATGATTCCTGGTGAACGAAACTTTTTAAATCTGACAAAATCTATCCACAGAAGACCTATGCCAGATATCCTAATAATTCCCATTGAATTAATTATAAATAACTAATCTAATTGTGAATTATGAAAGCAGTTTCCCAAGACCAAGAGGGAGACAAGAACACTCACCTTCACTACTCTTAAGTGACACTGCACTGGAGGGCCCAGCCAGTGCAAGGGAGCAGGATGAAGAAATAGATGACAGAAGGATAGGAGAGGAAGAAATAAAACATAGATAGTCCCAAAGAATCAAAGGCAGACCCTTAGATTTGATAAATGACGTTAGCAGCTTACATAAATCGCCAATAAACAAAAACCAACTGAATTTCTAGAAACCAGAAATAAACAGGAAATACAATTTTAGGATTACTATTTATCATACCACCAAAAACAGTGAACATCTAGGAATAAATCTATCACGAGATGTGAAAGATCTTTTAGCTGAAATCAATTAAAATGTCATAGAGGAAACATTTAAAAGGCCTAAATGAATGGATATACCATTTTCAAGGATTGGAACACTCCATAAGAAGACACAGATGCCAATTCTCCCCCAAACTGAACTGTAGAGTCAACTCAATCTCAGTCAAAACCCCCAGTGTGTGTGCTTGTAGAAATGGATACATTGATTCTAGAATTGATGTAGAAATGCACATAGCCTAACATAGTCAAGGCACTCCTGAAAAAGAAGTGATGAGGGGTCACTTCCAAGGTTAGGTTATGAAAAGATGGATGGCTGCATCTCGGGTCCTCACTCTTCCTCCTTCCTGGGAAGCTCACCCCCACGGAAACCAGCAGAAGTCCCCACAGTGAGGATCAAGGCTGACAAACCAAATGAATGGGCTTGGAAGTGGGTATCCCACCACCAACACCAAGCCTTCAGATGACATCATGGCCCCTGGCCAGCAGCGGAGGGTTATCCAGGTTACCTGAGACTGAGGTATTTCCCAGGACTTGGGACTTTCGGCACTAACTCTGGAACAGTCCCGGGCAAACAAGGATGGCTGGTCACCTTGCTGACAGCTTAACTATATCCTCATGAGAAACCTCAAGCCAAAGGCCTCCAGCTAAGCTGGGCCCAAATTCCTGATGCCAGTCCTCTTCAGCAGCTGTTTTGAGGTAACGTAGTATTCAGTAACAGATATCTGAGACAGCACTTCACAAAAGGATGGTGTACATATAACCAGGCACCCAATGTCTGTGCTCACCGGAGAAAGGCAAACTAAAATAACAAGCCATCGCAATGCACATGAGGGCCCAGTCAGTGCACGTTTTACTGTATAAAATGTAAAAGACAGGGAATATCCAGTGTTGGCAAAGTTGGGCAGCTAGAACTCTGGGGGACCACTGGTGAGGTATCAAATGTGGTGGCCACACGGGAAAACTCAAATGGCATCTAGTGAAGTGGAACACACACATTATCCTGTGTCCCACAGTGATCCTCAGATACACACCGAGAGAATGCATCATCTGTCCACCAGAAGGCACGTTCAAGAATGACCTTGGGGGGTCACCACCCCCATTCCTCCCATGCAACATGGAGGACCGAACAGAGAAGAGGCAGAAAAAAAGAGGTTGTGGAGAATCAGGAAGAATAAAGGAGACAGTCCTCCTCTGGCCACAGAGGCCTCTCTGGGCACTATAGTTCAGCACTTCCAGAAATTCAACTGGATGAAACAACAAATGGTATCTGAGCTACTGAACAAGAGCCAGGGGCTTGGGTCTCCCACGGTCCACACACGGAGGGCATGGGCAGCCTTGCTCTCTCCATCCCCTGACAACTGTGTTTTTCAAAGTGTTTTCAATCCAAGGAAATTTCTATTTATGCAAACTCTCAAGCTGAATCTGGGCATGTAAAAATGTCAAAGATAGAGGAGCTCTAGCTGATACGAACCCCACCTCCAGGCCACCTCCTACTAGCTCAGTTTCAGCTCGGCAGACCCCAGGCATTGCCAGGAGACCCAGCTAATCCTAGGTATCCTGTGACTGGCTTTCCGCCCACCCCCAAGCCCAACTCCCAGGTCCCCCTTCACTCACCCCAGCTCTGGGTCCTGGACTATACCAGCCCATCATAGAGGGACAGCGCCTGCACAATGGAGGGGTCAGCCTTTGATCCTTCCTGAAACTCCTGCAGGGTCAGCTTCCCATCGGCGTTCTGCAAGCAGAGAGAAGTGGCTGAACGTGGAGGGACACCCAGCCTCCTGGGACCCTTGACACCCACTCCCCAGGCCCATCCCAGGACTGGCCCAGAGAGAGCTTCCCCAGTTAGGTCAGGAAGGAGGCAGTGCAACTCCCATATAAGAGGAGTTGGGCAACAGACAGACCCAGCCCTTGAGGCAGGGTGACCCCAGGGACATAACCCACCTCCCCAGGCTCACGTTGATTCCTCGGGGCACTGGGGTGAGTGTTTTGTGAGCCCAAGATGTGCAAAGTGCTCACAGCCTGGAAGCGCCCCTAACTCCATACTTCTCATTATCACAGCAATTAATTCCATAAACAGCAGTTAATCCCAAAGGGCTGAGAGCCTCATGCATTTCTCTGGGGTCACTCTTGCAAGGGCATTTAAACCACTCCTAGAGCAGCCTACACCGGATGCCAGGAGACCCAGCAGAGCTCACATAAAAGGACCTGAGTGGGTCTCTCAGGGTAGGGGTGATTTGGGCCAGAATCCCTGCCTCTGCAGCATCTTTCAAGGAAAACCATGAGAAGGAAAAAAAAAAAAGGGCCTGGAGACCACCCACCCTAGATCCCGTCCCCAGAGAACACGGGCAGTAACAGGAGTTCCAAAAAGCACAGTGAGGCCTGTGGGTCCCTCTGAGGATGGCTCACCGTGGGCCTTGTGCATACTTCGTGTCTCATGCTTGGTCTCACGGGCTCCTCAGGGCTGCCCTAAGAAGAGGTGATCTTATCCCCATTTGGCTGGTAAGGAAACCAAGGCTTGATCACCTCCCAGGGCCCCATGGCTAGTCACTGGGGAAGGCAGAATTTACACCAGTCTGGGGGATGGTGGGCTCTGTTTCCTTAAATAAAGGAGGTATGAGTCAGGGAGATTTAAGGAGTGTGTGGCCTTGGCCCTTAAATAGCATCGAACCACCCATGATGATGGTAGTTGACAATACCCAAGAGAACCAGCAGTACTTGTGACCTATGTCAACCGTGGGGGTCATGGGCAATTTCACAGCACATCACCGCTACTGCAGGCATCACATACACCTGTCACTGCTTTGAAACTGGAAAGTGGTGACACCCACAGCTACACCTTCTCATCTAATGTGTTCATAAAGAAGTTCATAGAACGCTATATCACAAATTCTTTTTAAAAAATATTTTGATGGCTCTATTCCAAAATCATTAGCTGCCTTTTTGATCCTATGGATTTGATCTGATGCGCCGAACACCATTATTCACAGACACCCAGAGACTTCTCTAATATGTCAAAGGGGTCCATGTCAAGAAGGAAAAACGGTCAAGAATCTTAGCTGAGGAAAGAAGTGTTGGGTAAACTTACCTAAAACTCTGGACGTTTGATGGGGGTGGCTGTTGACAGGTGGACACTGCAGCAGGCCAGGCCCTGAGCTGAACATCTATGCATCTCTGAGGGTCTGCCTGGCCCACCCACTGCGGTCCAGGGCCTGGTCCCCCCACCTTACTTCCCCAGTCAAGGACCAGCCTCACCCGGGGCTCACCTTGTCCATCATGGCAAAGATCCGGTCCACCCTCTTCTCGGGGGTGTTCTCTTCCTCAGGGAGCTCCACGGTGTTCCCCTGCCAGGGAGAGACAAGGTGGCCAGTGGGCTCCTGGAACTCAGGGCTTTGGGGTCCTAGCCCAAAATCTGCCCTCCAGATCTGGGTGGTTCCAGATGCAGACACTCCCCACCCCACCCCTGTCCTCTCTGCCTCCTGCTCTGGAACACTCTGTCCCCCCAGCCCCTGCCCACCTTGCAGATGCACATGGTGACCCCTCCCCTGGCCAATTCTCACCCTGGTGGGGTGGGGTGGCGGGGAGCAGCCAGCTAGGCAAGCAGGCACCCTCGGGGATGATCAGATCCTGTCCCTAAATGTGTCACCCCTTCTGCCCCTCCTGCCCCTCCTACCCCATAAGGCCCAGGCCTCACCACCATCTGGTAAATGGCATCCACAATGTCCAGCATCTCGTTCCTGGTGATGTAGCCGTCGTTATCCAGATCATAGAGCTTGAAGGCCCCTGCAATCAAGCAGTGGGGATGGAGTCAGCAGGCTCGGTCATGCCCCTTCCCCCCTCCAGCCCCGCAACAGGCTGGGGAGCCACATTACTCATCAGCAACAAGGATTCACATCAGGACAAACAGGGATGGACAGACAGGCACATGCACATACACACATTTCAACTAGGGTTAAAAGAAAAAAAAAGAAAAAAAGAAACTAAAAATAAGGAGAGGGTTCTGGGTCTGTGGGAGCGGGAGCTGAGGCTGGGTTGTTGAGTGAGGGGGACCCCCAAGGGCACCCCCTTTCTCCCCCCACCACTCTCTGCCTCCTCTTCACCCACTCCGCTCCCATAATCACACAGCTTCCTGCTCTGGTCAACTTAGAAAGTAAGATAATACACCCAGGATAGGGGTGGGAGTGTAGCTTTTACAAGAATAAAATCCTCCTTTATTCCTTAAAAAAAGAAAGAAAGAAAGAGAAACTGCAGGGTTTTCTTGTTGCCAACGCAATGCAGCATAAAGGTCCAGGAGAATGGTGAATTCTGGCTTGACTGTTTCCCCCTCTCTTCAGACTCCCTTTTGTACCCCATGTTCTAGCCTGGGCCTGGACCTCGGCCCCAGGGCCTTGCACATGCTATTCCCCTGCTCTGCACACCCTCCTCCCTCCTCCTGGTCAGGCCAGCTCTCCCCCTGCCTGGCACAGCTCCTGACACCTCAGAGGGTCAGTTCCTCTCCTGTCCGCCCACTCACCCACCCCTTCTTGCCTCGGCTGCAGTTTTATGGGATTTTTCAAAATCATATTCCCAGGCTAGACAGCCAGCTGTGAGTGGGTGCCTGCCCCTCTGGCTCTCCACGGCTTCCCGGCCTCCTGGCCAGCACGGACTGTGGCCGTGGACTGTGGATTATCTGCTGTGTGAATGAGTGAGGAAGTGGCTGAATGACACCAGTCATTAAAGCAGTGGCGTCCTAAGAGGTGCAGCCAGCACTGGAACCAGGTCTCTTAATGCAACACCACACTACCCGCGGCCTCCGTCTGCACCTGTTGACCTGCCCCATCTGTCTACCCTGCCTCTCAGTAAGCTGTGTTCCTTCTCCATGGCCACCCCCAGGGAAGCTCCTCTGACCTGGAAAGGCAGGACATCTGGCCTGGCCCGGTGATCTGGGCTCCCTCCAAGCCTGGGCCCAGGCAGTGGCTGCCTGACAGAACCAGGGACGGGACTTACACCGAAGCTTCTCGTCCAGTGTTCCCCTCGAGGTCACCGACAGCGCCTGGATGAACTCGGAGAACTCAATCCGGCCGTCCTGACAGGAGAAAGGGGCGGGGTGGCCTCGGTCAGTACTGGGTCTCTGGTCAGGCTGGACCGTGGGTGTGTGATGGGCGGCGGCAGGCACCAGATACCCACGGCCAATGGACGGATGCCCAAGTGGAGAGGGTGCGAGTCAGGTGACAAGAGATGGGGTAGGGGGCAGGATTAGAGATGGGTCAGGTCAGGCCAAGGGGACAGAGGAAGGAGTGAAGCTAAAGGCAGAGCCCAACTCCATGTCTGATGGGACAAAGAGCCAGAAGGCACCACCAACACACACCCCCTCTCTGGGCCGGAGCTGCCTGGAAATCTCCTTTCCCCTTGGCCTAGAACTACAGGCTCACACACTTTTGAGGAGTCAGGGCTCTAGACTTTACTCTGCAAATCTGTTTTGCAAGTAGGAGAAACTGAAACCTGGGGAGGGCAGAACTCTTCCCAGGGCCAGGCAGTGTGACTGTCAGCCTGACAGCACCTGAGGAGAAAGCCAGGGCATGACACGACAGAAACAATTGAGTGTCCTGCAGCACAGAGCGTGCAAACTCGTCACAGTGAATCCACCATGAACATGAGGGAGACTGAAAAAATGCAGGCGTGGGACAGGGTGCTAAGAACAGTGGGCGCCCTGACAGCGGATACGCCAACTGTCAGCACGGCCATCGCCAGGAGGGGACGTGTGCTACAACACAGATGAGCCTTGAAAACATAATGCTCGGTGAAAGGAGGCAGGCACAAAAAAAAAAGAGCTCAGAGACTCAGTTTCCCCAGCTGCAAAATGGAGTTATTAAAAGGACCTACCCCACAGGTAGCTGACTGCAAAGCCTCAGTCAAAATAATCCATGTAAAAAGCTTAGCACGTAGTAAATGTTCAGTAAATGTCAGTCATGATTCTAAATCCTGTGATTATCCCTGCAAGCATTTGCATTTTGTGCTTGTAAGAGAAAGGTCAAGTATACATATGAGTGCATATGTGTATGTGTGCACACATCTCCATGTGGCGTGGTGCGTGCATTGTGTACGTGTGTGCACGTGTGTGCAGACGTAGTCATGTATTTGCATGCATCAGCGTCTGTGCGTGTGTGTGCATGTGCACACGGGTGCATGTTCCTTCTCCAGAAGGGAACATCGGCAGGAGAGCGTGGGTGTGGAGACGCTGCGGGCGCCTGCAGGAGGGAGGGGACCTGGGCTGGGCGCCGGCCTGTCGATCCCCAGCTCACCTTGTTTTCATCAAAGACGTTGAAAACAAACGTGGCAAACTTGGTAGGATCTCCAAATGGGAAGAACTGCTTATAGATTTTCTGGAAGCCTGCAGCATCCAGCTGCCCGCTGGGGCAATCCTTGATGAAGCCCTTGTACCTGGAGGTAGCAGACCAGGTGAGAGAGGGTAAAGGAGGCGCCAACACCACCCACCTACCAGCAGCTCCTTCCCAGCACCCCAGAAGGCTGTGAATCTCCATCTGGCGGGTGGTGGGCCCAGGCCTGGCCGTCCAGCAGGGGCTCATCTCACCTCTGCCTCTGGCTAGCTGTGTGACCTGGGACAGGTGACTGCATCTCTCTGAGCCTCATCCATACAAGGGGTGTAAGAGTTGCCGTGAGAATTAACACTGTGCACAGAGCACTCAGCCCCCCAGGCCTGCACTCCACACGGCGGAGCTGAAACAACTAATACAAACCAGCCCCCCCAAAGTGGCGCTTACATCAGGCATTCCGCCTCCCCCACCTTCTCCACTGAGCCCCTCCTGGCACCACAGAGGGGGGCAGGCTGGCGGTGCTGGCGGTGCTGCTGGTGGGCAGAGCCACCATATGGGGCTGGCAGCTGGCTCCTCCCACACGCCTGCACCCCCAGTATGCACCCCCCACCTCTGTTCCCAGGGATCTGTGCTAACGGACGCAGCCAGCTCAGAGGGCATCCTGGTTGGTCCACCCTGTATTTCCAGTGCCCAGCACAGGATCCTGCAGATACGCAGCTCGCTGACGGCAGCATGGCTCTGTAGTCCAAACTCCAGCTTTGCCATCTGCAGACTGTGCAACCTCGGGCAAGTGCCTTCACCTCTCTGAGCCTCAATGCCCGCATCCATAAAAGGGGACAGCTATCACACCTGTCGGGGTCAGGATCACATGAGATGAAATAGAGTACTTAACACGGGGCTGAGCATAAAAAAATCATCAATAGCATGGTCTTTCGTATTAGGGACTCGGAGGAGTTGTTGTAAACCAATTCATGAGTTGGCTCCTGTGGGTAGCTTAGCAACCCAGCTGGAGGAGGATTCCTTGGAGGAGGAGGATTCCCAGCATAAAGGGAAGCTAGTGAGGGATCAGCCATTACCTGCTCCCAGCCCTTAGCTCTCGGGGCCCCTGGGTGCAGGCCCATGCTCCCTGATGGCCCAAGGCGGCCGGGCTGCAAGCTCGCAGGAAAGCCCATCTGAAGAGTGAGGAGGCTGGGGCTCCGGAGGGGGACTGGCTCGTCCTCACGACCCTGGACTGGAGCTGAGGCGGGGGTCAAAGGCGACACTGAAGAGGCCAGATGCTCAGAGCCACGGCGTCACTGAGACTTTCACCTGCCCCATTGCTCTGCTCTAACGGAGACCTTCTGGTGAAGGTGTCATTGACCCTCGTGTCCCAGGAGGTTGACTCCGAGAGTCCCGTGCTTGGACCCTCGGAGGTGGCACGGTGGGGGGGGGCCCCTCCAGAGAGGGAGCATGTGGAGAAGCCTCCGTCTTCCACCCACAGGGGGTGGCCTAAGGGGCCTGGGTGGTCTCTGCACACACAGGGACCTAAAGGAACATGCAGGACACTCAGGGATCTCTAGCCTCACAACTGAGGTCAGAGGTTAATGAGAAAACAAGCCTCTTGTTAACACACCAGCTGCTCCCCAGGGATGAGCATTGCTGGGGGGAGGGGGAGGCAGGAAGATGGAATGGGGTGGCTGGGGGCTTCCCTCCTGGGGCTGGGCTGGAGGTCAGGAAGGAGGCCAGGTCTCTGTGCACTGCCACCCCGGGCCTCCCCCTGGGCCCTTGGGGGAGCAGAGGCCCAGGGAGGCCAGGTCCCTGCTCAGGAACAGGATCGCTGCCCCATCTCACCCTCCATCTGGACCTCTGGTGACAGCCCCGGGTCCCGGGCTCTGAGCTCAGCCTTCCTGGCTGCTCCCCACTGCAGTCGCCACCTTAGCCCTGCCAGGTGGGTTCAGTGATGCGGGGTTCACAGATGAGGTAAGAGGTCGGGTGCCCTCCCACCGCAGGTACCAGGAAGGGACTCCACTCCACCCCTTGCAGGTCCCTCCCCTAAATTCTTCTTCCCAGCCGGGTGCTCTGGACTCCGAACTTCAGACCTGAGCAGAACACACAGCTGGGGAGAAGGCGCGTTTCAGGGACAAGACTTGGTCCAAGACCCGGGGGCCCCCCTGGCCAAGACAGGTCCCTGGGCAGGAGGAAGGGACGTGCCTGGCCCCCTGCACCCCCCCCCACAGGCTCCTGTGTCACCAGATCACTCCCAGAGCCCCTCATTTCCCCACAGTGGATATATGTACTTAAGTGATCTGAAAAGACTGTTACAATAATAAATAATAAAGAGAAGACAAAAGTCTCTCCCAGAGGGTCCCTGCGGGTGGCTCCCGGTTTGGGGGGGGGTGCTCTGGGAGGGGAAGGCGGTTTGCTCAGCATGGCAGGAGCCAAGAGCAGCTGCGTGAGCCCGTGGTGGGGGCCCTATAGCCTTTATTGGAGGCTGACAGAGTGGGGAGCCTTTGGGGGGGGCCTGTCCAATTACCCCTGCAAAGGCTGTCACCGTCACAGGGCCCCAGGAAGCCCACCCCTGGGGGGGGGCATGTCCCAGCCTGATGCCCCAGGCTCTTCTTGCCAGGCACCTCCATAATTCCACACCCAACCACACTTTCTAGAACTTGCCATACGATCTCCAGCCTCCAGGCCTCCTTGCCTACAGGTTCTCTCTGCCTGCAAAACACACATCTTCCTTCTCTTCAAGGTTGGGCTGATCCACTCACCTACCACTACCAAGTCCCAGCTTAGATGTCACTCGTTCCGCGAATGCAGGCCAGGTCCCCCAGAGCCTGACAGGCTCCTCTGCTCCCTCACTCTTTGGAAGACCCCAGCGCACTGTATCATGTATGCCCCAGGCTGTGTCCCCATCCAACTGTAACCGCTCTGACACTGCAGAGCCCCCTGCCTGGCACAGGCCCTGGTGTACCATGTGGGCTCAGTAAGTGTTTGCCCAGGGAGATGGATGAATGGATGGATGGATAGATGGACGGACGGACAGACAGGCATACAAACTGCCAGACAGGGGCAAGGGGAGTGAGAGCCCAGGTATCCAGTGTCTTCTTCCTGAGCCCCTGGAACCATGGCCAGAACCTGAGAGCATCCTTCAGATGGCCAGAGAACCATGGATGTCTCCCCACCTTTCTGTGGATTGACAGGGAACTGGGGGCCCAGAGAGGGAGAGAGACTGGCTCGAGGTCACACAGCAAGTTAGCAGCAAGATCAGGGCTCAGACCCAGCTCTCCTGCCTCCCAGGATCACCTGCCCCTCCTCCAGCCAGGCGGGAACACCGCTGCATTAACACCTGGTGAAGCCTTGCTACCCACACACCGTGCAACCCCCTTGTTCATCCTGAGAAGGTGGGGGCACTCTGCCTAGCCACAGCAGGGATGGGGGGTCACCCCAGACCTACTGAGAGCCAGGGAAATGGCTGTGTACTTTCCAGGCACGATGTCACCCAGTGGTCCCACTGAGCCCAGGAGGCAAGAACTAGTATGCCCATTTTACCGATGGGGAAACTGAGGCTGGGGAAGATCAAGTCTTGCCCTGGCTCAGGGCCTTCACTCAGCATGCCTTCTGCTTAGCCAGTTCTTCCCCTCCCTACCCTGCTGATTCCCACTCACCCTTTCATTCTTGGCTTTGGTGTCTCCCCTACAGAAGCTCCCTCTGGCCACTGCAGACCAAGTCACACTCTGGTCCCAGCACTCCCAGCACCCTCTCCCTGGCCGGGGCCTCGGTGGCACCTTGTATGGCTGTGCCTGGTGACTGACTTGCATAACCTATGTGATGCTGGACCAGTGGGTGCAGCACCCAGGCCACTGGTGGCCCATGTCTCCTAGACCAGCCCTACGTCTGTGGGGCCCAACACTGTGCCTGGCATACAGTAGGTGCTCAGTAAATGCTGAAAGGAGTCACACAGCTGGCAAATGAGGCAGCCAGAACTAGAACCCTCTGCCACACCTCTGTGTTTGTGCTGGATAGGGAGGGAGGGCTGTATCAGACATCCTGCCCTTTGAGGCCCAAAGTGCTCAGTGGACCCACTTCCTCAGCCCCTTCTGCTTGTTTCTGGACTCAGGGGGCCGGGGGGAGGCCACAGAGGTCCCAGCATTGCCACTGGGGCAGAACAGGCCAGGCGGGGGGCGAGGGGAGGAAGACACAAAAATCGTGCTGTGGTTACCACCACAAACTGATAACCTGGGGTGACCAGAACAGTCAGGATTTGGGGCAGGATCTTGGGGCCCAGCCCCACAATCTCCAGGCACCATCAATGACTGACAGCCCTGGAGATCCACCACAGACCTCACGGAGCCATGCCACCCACTTCAGACAAATGCCCCAAGTGTGTGGTGGAAAGGAGGTGGGAAAAGATCCTTTTATTTATTATTATTAGCTCTGTGCTGATGGTTTCATCGGCTGCACTGAGCATGTATGAATTCCGTCAAATAAACAAGTTAATTTTTTTTTATAATTTAAAGAACTGAAAAGGAAGGGCTCAAGCTTCCTCAGCAGACCGGGCTCGATCCCAGCACCCATCTTTGACCCGTGTGTGACCCTCAGCAGGTGACTTCCCCATTCTGAGCCTCAGTTTCCTGATTGGTGAGGTGGGAACCAACACAGTACCTGCCTCCCAGGCCCTGGGTGAGCTTCCACAAATGGCAGCAGTGTCGTAGACAGTGAAGGATGCCCTGAACATCTGCTGGATGCCGAGCTCCTACTCCCAACCTCTCCCACACAGCAGAGCCCGAGATGCCATGGACTCCCCCCGCCCCAGCCACCCTGTCCTGCCAGCTGCCCCAAGGAGGAGGTTCTAGAACACCGACACCCCCAATGCCCCCACCCATTCCAGTCACTCAGCCCCGAGACACTTACTCGGAGGCCACTCCCCTACACAACCTTAATGGTCAGGATAGTGAATTTTACATTATGAGTATTTCACCACATTAAAGAAAAAATGTGGGGCACCTGGGTGGCTCAGTCAGTTAAGCATCTGCCTTTGGCTCAGGTCCTGATCTTGGGGTCCTCGGATCAAGCCCTGCATGGGGCTCCCTGCTCAGTGGGGAGTCTGCTTCTCCCTCTGCCCCTCTT